TTGGTTGAGGTACCCCACCTTGAGCCTTCGACTCAAAAGTCTGACCCACGAGGCAGTGGGAGAATGTAGGGTTTTCTTTGGGGACCCTGCCCGGAGCCGATGACTCAATAGTCTGACCTACTCGGCTGCAGGGGGTTGGCCTAACTCGAGGGCGCAGGGAATAAGGCATTGCTGTCTCATTCCTGATGCGGCTGCGCACACCAGGTGCCTTTTGAGCAGCACCGGGCTCTTTGGTTTTAAAAGTATTTCGACCGTATCGGATAATGCACCGGCAGTCACGGTCAACCGTTGGGCGATCGGAGTGTGCGGTTTTTGGGGCCGACCTTTTCTAACCCGTCCTTCCTCGGGGGAAGGCAGCATCGCTGCTTCCATAAAAATGGACTTGCTGTTCGCCTGGGGGAAACACCTTACTGCCTTCACACTCCTGTCGCAGAGGACAGTACGACTTTACCTCCAGGCCGCCTCGTAGCACGATTACTCGTAGTACGGGGTCTCGCTGCTCTTGGTCTGGCTGCTCCCCCTCGGCCTTCCTGGCATGGTTCAACCTTGTGGGACGAAGTTCCAGCCAGTGTAGCCCGCGGGATCATTGCAGCACTGAAGCCCGACCACCACGTCAAGGTGGCAGCTTTAGGTCGGGTCTGATCACCGATGCCCCCATAATTATAGCTAGAATCGGATGAAACCGGTGAATTCTCAATAAGTTGATCGGGAAACTGGTTTGCGGTGGAACAGAGGATGCTCCTCCAAAAGAACGCACCCAGCAGCGTCAGCTGAGGTGGGTGGGCTATGCATTACACATGCCGAGTTAACACCTGTCGAGACGAGCGCTGTTTTCTGTGCATAATTCGAGTGGTGAAACCCTAGAGGCGGACAGGATTTGACATGGCAGAACGGATCAACATGGGATCAACATGACTCTTCCTTAGCTTGCCTGGTGGCACTGAACGACATGGTGGATAGACGGTGTCCATGGAGTCCACAATGTCAGCTTCACTTCGGATTGTCTGAAGAAGTGTGATAGGCTAGCCCTAGATTCCCGTTCTTTCCCCATTTCCTTCTTCTTTCTATTAACATGCTGGGTTAAAATGAACTGACATGATGATATGGCAGTGAAGCGCCGGTGTTCCCATCTGATGGGATAGGGCCTGGAGAGAGTTCTACCGGGCTGATGGATACGTTATGATATGGCAAGCGCCGGTGTTCCCATCTGATGGGATAGGGCCTGGAGAGAGTTCTACCGGGCTGATGGATACGTTTGAGTTTTCATGGGTGGCAAAGCAAAAGTACATTTGCAGGAGCGATGGAGGGTTCAGGGTCTTGTAAGACTATGAAGTTAGGTCCGATGCTAGGAGCAATCACAGAGCATTGAGGGCATAGGGGTACCATAGAAGCGTCAACTAAGTACTGACGGTTGATGGCGCGATAAGTTTAGGTATGACAGCATATGGGACCGGATTTACAGGAGAAGAAACTGGCCGATGCTTTGTGATGGGACGTTTGTGAGTTTCATCCATAGACGTTCAGTAGTCTGCATGCTTGTGGGGTTGATCGTTCTGTTTATCATATATGGGATATCGGAGTACTATGATGGCCGGCGAAGTTGTTTGGCATGCCGGAGGTGGGATATGATAGTTGGTCTGAAAATTCGTGAGAATCGGAGACAATTGATTATTATGTATGGCATTAGAACAAAGTGTCGAGTCAGAGCATAGAGCGGGCATGAATACCATATCACATCAGCCTCAGCGTTATGAAGGACGGTTGGGGTCCAGCAGTTTGATGTAACTGGATGGCAGGCCAGGTAATTCGACAGGCTCTGTAAGTTACAGTTTGGTGCGGGGGTTCTTGGGTTGTGATACTCACACGTATTGACCGTCGACAGACCTGCGTGGTTGCTCGGGGAGTTAGGTGCATGGGGCATATGTGATTGAGTTAGGTCAAATTCCCATTTTGTGCGGATTGATGATTGGAGAAAGGTTCAATCTGGTAGCTTCCCGTGACCGAAGTGTGGGATTTAGGTAGTAGCTTCTATGTAAGCTGCTCCTGCATTTGAATACGAGCAGCTCTAATTTTTATGGTTCCGTAGGAGAGAGCATGGCCTGGGATGTTATCAGACGCACCGCACCGTTTTCATCCCCGAATCGCAGTATTACTGGGTAGCACATGGATGGTTTTAACTCTTGGGGCCGTCGAGTTGTGGACGTGGTGCCAAGCATGCCACATGCTGTCAGGACCGCAGTTTTGATGTGTTCAAGCGGAATTCGCCCGGGATCTGATGACGGCATCCAATACGTTGACAAATCTAGAAAGCGATCGTGTCAATAAGAACTGATACTTTTTCTAGACTGGCTGGATCGCATGTTGCTTCGGGATTTAGGAGACATGCAGCAGGCTGCATGACTCGGAAGGAGGTCATTTCACTTCCCATCTTGTGCAAACAGCTCTGAGATTTTCCAGATCTTTCTGAACATAAGATCCTTTTGGTAGCGGGTTGAGGCAGATAAATGTCAGGTAGTACTCCTGAACACTTTGATGTTACTTGGAGCGCCACGATTACCGTCCTTAAAAGCGAGGGGGTTGGGAGCTGGGTCTCTTGGCTGCGAAGTGTTTCTTTGAACATACTGAAGAAATAGATTGTTATTCGGGGTCTAACAACCGCTTTGACGAATATCACTATTACCACAAATTTTCGAATTTTCATTTATGTGACCTATGAGGAGTTCATGAAAGGCTCCGCAGGGTTTTCATAACGAATACAACCTTACTTTGTTTTATGTGCACTGCAAAAGCGTTTCTAAGTGTTTGTTCCAGTCGCTCTCCATCTTTGCCTAAGGTGTAGCGCCTTTTTAAATACAATCTCCGGCGACTCACACGGTCTCTACATGCATGTGATGGGAGTGTTGTTGACACAAATCAGTGATACCTAAAGCACCATCCAGCGACTATTTATAACTACACAGTCGAAAATGAGGTATTTATGAGGAGCTAATGAATAGCTCCGCAGGGTTTTCATAACAAATGGAACCTTACTTTGGTTTATGTGCACTGCAAAAGCGTTTCTAAGTGTTTGTTTCAGTTGCACTCCGACTTTGCCTAGGGTGTACCGTTTTCCAACATAATCCCAGGCGACTTACACGGTTTCTACATGCATGTGATGCTGGTGTTAGTGAGAAATCATTGATACCTAAAACGCCATACAGTGGCTATGTATAACTATGCCGTCGGAAATGAAGTATTTATCGTTCAGGTCCAATTTGTATGGGACGAATCAACGAGAGATTGTTTACGAGGTCGTGGTGATAGCATCAGCCAGGCTGTAGAAGGGTAGGGCAGTGTTAGCATTTCGACAGGAACGACTATGTAGATGAGGAATGTGCGTGTTCCAGGAACTGAGGATTGAGAGTGACAACCTTAAACCTAAAGAAAAGGAACCCGTTGACCTTTGCGATCGCAGATGATTGGAGGACCACCGTAAGTAAATGATTATCTAATATAAAAAGTGGGTAAAGACCTATGGAGGGACTAGAATCCAAAAAGTCCCTATAACGCTTGACCTTGAAATTTCAGTTTCGCGCTTAGCCAATCGAAGCACCAGTGGCTACAGTTAATGGCCCTTACTAAAGTTACACCAATGAGTTCAAACTCCAGACTACTTCTAATCATGTCAGCAAAGCCCTGAATCAACACCCTTGTCATTTCGGACCATTAGACTGACAAATGTGCTAGAACTGGCCTTAAGTTATCTTTTATAAAACAAGCAAACTTATGGATATGACAACATCGCTATTTTTGTGGTTATTGTGACTGTCGCCTGTGGTACGGGCAGCCAGCCCTGACAGCATCAGCTCTTTCGTTGCGTTCACTGCACATGACTGGGGCGTTATAAGTGATTCCATACGAAGAGGCTCCTGATCGTCCGCTTCTTGTCAGTTGCTTCATCCCAAATCCAGTTTGTGTAGGCTGTATTTTACCGTATTGTTTTTACTAATAATTTGCTCTCATTGGGTCTTGCGGTAGTATATTCGATGTTTTCACCGTCCAAATTCTCACAGTGATTTTCCGGATGTTGCAGCGTTAGGTTCACAAAAGTATTAGATACGAGCTTCTCTATCCAATCCCGCTCAGAAATTTTTGTGTGCCATCTGGTACTAGATAAACAGATGTTTTGGTCAAGGGTGCCTGTATGAGCCCGTCGCTCCGCTCTGTCTCATCTTCCTTTCCCACACACATCTGACCGCGTACTTTGAAGAGAAAGTGGCTTCCAGTTTGCTGGCGCTTGGACGTAAATCAGTTTGAACACCTGGGTGCGAAACTCATTTTTTGATGTTCAGTATTGCCACGGTCAAGTAATCTTGATCCTCTGCTGGATAGAACTTTCAATGCTGCTTTAAGCATTCTGCTAAGGCTGGTGCATAACTTGCGCTTTTCTTACAAGTAGGAGGCAAATCAGTTCAACTCTAACCTGCTGGTTTCGAAAGAAAAATCTTAAAATTGTTCGTTTTGACGTGGCACTCGTACCGGGAGCGATAATCCACAACCTTGCTCCTCAGCAGGAGGCGCCCAAACCACTGATGCACAAGTTATGTGTAAGAGCCGATATCTTAACAGTGTGTGCGTTCGGCCCCATATCCGCATTGACAACAAGAGAGATGGTGGCATGGAAAAACAATAACTGTCCATATTCCTTTACCAGTAAACGCGCTTGAAGTTGCATTTTAGACTTGGTTTCCCGTTTTATCTGAGGTTTTATGGCCTCTTAGTAGAACGCGGGACGGGCCAGCTTGAAGCGAAAAAATGGGGCGAATAACTGGTGCGTGTTGGAGCAGCTTTTCGGTGTTGTTCTACTTTTCCACTGACTTAACCCACGACATTGTCCTGTGACGAGGCTACTTATACCGTCTTTTTGCTTGTATTGACTCCTTATGTCAAAAAATATGAAGGCTATACGTTGCACACAAGCGTTAGATTTGGCGGGGAGCCAAGAAAAACGAGGGTTCATACGAAGCAACACGAGAACTTTCGAGCCCAGGGAACTACTGGAACCATTCAGTATGTCGAATGCAGACGCAAACTCGATGAAACTAGGAAAGAATTAGCGGCGATGTGTAGAAAGATTCGTGTACGCACGAAGCCGGTTAATAGAACTGGGCTCTGGGTTGATATAGATCATTCCACCTACTGCTCTCTTAGGCTCCCTCGCAGCACAGTTTTCCTGGTGCTAACTTCAGCCAACATACTGTCCTGACGGCCTACGTGTGCATACATCATCGGATCGTTTTTGGCATAACGGAATGTGAGAGTTCGAGGCATATATTGGATACCGTGCAGCGGAGCCTAAATTTGAGGCACTGGAATGTGGCAGGTGAATTGGCTATAACGCTTTTTGGACTGTCTATCATCCATGCTTTAATCTGCTGGGGCCGCAAGACCAAACTAAAGGTGATGGGTCTATTTGTGTGCGACCGTTTCGAAAACCCATCTCTCACCTGTGAAGAGCTGAGCAGGTGGTTCGCGTCTCCTTGCACCACTTGCAATCCTCTATTAAACTGATCTTACGCACATCCTTCCTTACACGGCCATCTCTTTTGCGTACCACTATGTTCTAACCAAGCCACCGCTCAAATATTTCCCCTTCACCAACCACGCCCAGGGGAAACTGTTCACGAGAGAACACACAAGACTGCACTAAAGCTACAGCTGATAGCAGTACTTCGGGGACTAGTGACTATTTCTCTTGCACAAACTTTATCTACTGGTATAACCCAACTCATGTAATAAACACCAGATTATCCAGTTATCTTAGAAGTCCACCCCCGCCAGCCCTTATGCATCTGATTCCCATACCACGCTTCTACGCGCTTTTATTGGCTTTTACTAGATCCCTTGTAATGTAATGTCGTAGGTTAGCAGACTCAACCCCTGGTCGCTAGCTTTCTAAGTACAAATCACTCTACCTCCCACTCCATATAATCACCTGTCATCACCCTAATTGCAGCAGACGTCAGGTTTTTTTCTGTGTATATTTACGCATATTATCCCATTTTATATCCCCCCAACTTCACCATGTTTTGCGAATCTCCTTCTATCCCCTCATCTTCCCAAGCTTTGAACTTTGGAAGTGCCCGTTTCGGACGGACTGGTTAGCTGATTTCCACTCCACCTGGCCCATGATCTGCAACTTCGGGACCACCAAGCGGACCACAAAAAAACCCTACAATCCCATATCGACTTCGTTCCAGCTAGTTTCCTCGACCAGGCTGAAATGAATACCGCTGCCCAATGAACTGCACACCCCCAGCCGAATCATCTCAAATTTGACGTCTGTCACAGGGCTGTCCAAAAACTGAAGCATGTCAGGCCAATGATGGCACGGCACTGCCATACCCATTTCGATAGCACACCCGCAACTGTTCCATCCCTCCTCCCAAACGAGCCCTCTTGCCTACTCGTTTCACTGACCCCAAATACCACCTGACATTCATTCCAACCTGATGGACTACTCGTTCCAATTCAACCAACTCTGTGTCCCCATCCATCCTAACACCTGCACTTGACCTCCCTACGTCAGTGCAGCCAGTGAGTCTGCTTGTTCTCAGATTGCACCATACGTTTGCGACTAGACCTGCTATGTTCTCCCAATTCGAATTATCTCGCCTCCACCTCCTCTTTTGCTCGTTGTGACTCCGGCCATTTACCCAACCGCCCAAGGCCAATCGTGGACAGCAATGGTTTTCAGTTTTAGTTCATGTTAGAGTTAGTCGGACCCCATGCGCATTGTTCTCTATCCTCACCATTCGTGACATTGTCCCCTTCTCGCGGAATCCCCCCTACCCGCGAATTCATCAGTCGTGCCCTATTCTGACTGTAAACGCATGTTCACGCCCGAAGGTATGCCACCCACAAGTTGGGAACAAACATTATTATTATTATTTTCTGAATTTCGTTTTCGAAGCAAAGATATGTGTTCCTTCACTCATTGCTTCAAAAACACCCTTGTCAAGTAATTCACTTGTTGCCAACCTTTTGTATACCTCTAATATATGTTTCGCCACCATCATCCTATCATCAAGGATGAGCAATCCATTTGGCGTGAATGCAGACTTTTCGAAATGATTAGTTTGAACTGGCATAACAGGTAGTCTATTCGTGACCCGCCAGGCTTAGGAACTTTACCAGCTCTTCATCGGTCTTATTCTGTGCATTCGCTGTTGACCTCGAAAATAAAAAAGGCACTGCGGTTTTCTGATTGTTGCTGCTGGCGTTGGCCTCGCCTCGGTTGTGCTATTTGGCAACGCCATAAACAATAACAAAAACTGGTCTTTCACCTGTCCAAAAGTATTCATGAGGAGAAATCAATATACCTGGGATAGCCGGAAGCAACTCTGCGATGCCCATGGCCTACGTCGACGTGCGTGGCTTTAGCTGCCTTCGTCAATATTGAGGCTACACCGCACCAAAACCTACCTCGTAAACCAAACAAAAAGACAACAATTTGCTGCTCCCAGGAGTGACACATACAACACATATAAACATACAGTTAGACTCCCGACTCTCCACTATCAACGTCCGAGGATAGCATCAGAAGTCTTTTTCGTCACGCACCACTCACTGATTAAAGCTGATGGTAGTGCTTCGGAGACTGGTGACCTTCTCCCTCGCATCCACCTTCCTTCCTAGATCGCCCTAGTATCGTCCATCTCACTAACAAGCTCCAGGAATTTACATCCCCAAGTCGTTAAGAGTTTGGTTTACCCTCACCACACCGCCTCTTAGCCCACATGCAGTAAACTGTCCTGTCTCAGGTAGTAT